AGGTAATTTCTTCAGTATTGAGTCTGTTGCCATTAATCCATGACTCCAGAATCCAGTAGCTTCCACATTTCTGAGAATCTGAGGCTAGGGCAGCATGCAGTCTTATACACACAGTCTAGTCCTGCCATCCTAGAAAATGTCTCCTTACCAGATAGGGACTTTTATGTACAGAATTTTCCAAGCTGGTGTGGTGGCACAGACTTGCAATCCAGCAATTGGGGGTCTAAGGCGGGAGGGTCACTGGGAGCTCAAGACCAGCCTGTGCAGCATAGTTTCATGCCACCTTTAGGCTGAGAATGAAACACTGTCTGCAAAAGTAAAATGAACATTTAAAACATGATCTGAGGTTAGGCAGATGGTTCAGTGACTGAGTACTTACTGCACAAGCCAGTGAGGGTGCCAGAGATTGGAGCCCTGAACCCATGTGAATGCCGTGTGGGTTTGGCTGCCAACTGGTAGTACCTAGAAGATGGAGATCCATCCTCAGAGCAGGCTGGCTAGCGAGACTTGAGATAACTGAGCTCGAGGTTTGATGGAGAGGCCCTACCTCAAAGATTAAGGTGAAAGATCAAGAAAGATTCCCAGCATAAAACCTCAAACTTTCACAGTCATTCGTGCAGACGTGCACACACCCACCTCCACATACTTGTGAACACACATGAAAGAGTCATAAAAGTATTTTTCATTCTTAAAGTAAACAAAAGCCCTGGAGCTACATACCCGTAGGAAGAAGCAGTTGTTTATATGATGAAATCTTTGTCTTGCCCTAAGAGAGTCCTGTACATTTTGTGAGAAACACGTCAGTATCGTGGAGGGTCTTCGTCAGTGATGCTGACCTGGGCCTTTGAGTACAAACCTTTAGTGGCATTTAAGTTCAACATACTGATGTATTCATTGCTTGCTGCTCTGCGTTGCCATCCTGAATTTTAGAAGTTTGTAACAGAGTGAGCATTATCTCGTATTGCTTCTGTGCATTAGGAATTTAGAAGCCACCTGGCTAGGTGGAGGGTCTGAATGATGGGGTTAAGATGTGCCTCTGTGTTACGGCTTCCAGCTCAGTGTTTCCCTGGGATCCCTGAGTGTGCAAATGACTGGGTCTCTGTGTCTGTATCTGTTTCTCGTGGCTTTCCTTGGCTTCTTTTCCTTTTATTTGTTTTGTCCTATTCCGACGTGTTAGTCTTTGCTTTGTCTTATTAGTTATTTGATTATTATCCCTTAGAAGCATGTTTGCTCTCTGATGAGAGACAGAAAGGGGTGGATCTGGATTGGGAGGGATGTGGGGAGGAACTGTGATTGGTAGAGGGATGGATAACCGTAATCAGGATATAATATATAAGAAAAAATTAATTTTTAATCGGGGAGGGGGAGGTGTTCTCTAGGAATGCAGTTATCTCATGGCTTGCCCAGGGTTAGAAGAGCCACTTCCAGGCTGGATCATTCTTGGTTAAGAAACGCCTATTGACAGGAGTCTAGCCAGTCCTTTTGTGGGCCTCATCATGGTGCTGTTATTTGAGTATTTTCCATCATAGCAGCTGGCCTTCCTTACACCAACAGATCCAGTAGAGAGTAAGGTGGAAGCCGTGTGTCTTTCATATCCTAGCTAGAAATCACATACCATAATTTTTGCCGTATCTGGTCGGTTATGCAGGTCAGTCCTGTTCATTGTGGGAACAGACTAATTAAGAGTGTAGGTGCTAAGTGGCATGCATCACTGGTGTCATCTTAGAAGATGTCACAGTATATTAGGATGATCATATTATGCCTTCCTTTTCCCAGAGTAGGTTGATTGTCGCCCCATTCCCTCTCAGGTCTGATCTGGTTTGGAGGCAGGGTTTCTGTAGGAGTTTGAGAAAGGGAGAAGTGGACATTGTTTCTAGGGAGGGCTGACCTAGTGTGGTGTCAGCTCTGCGGTTGTTTCCACAGTACTTTTGCCTCTGTCCATCCGTACAGATGGTTTGAATGCTATGAGTCTCTCTCATAAGTTTACTGCTCTGTTTTGATGTAGTAAGATGAGTTTCCAGAAGGTACAATGGATTTTATTGGTTCTAAATCAAAATGCTCTTATACTCTTTGTTCTCAATGCTGGGGAATCTCTGCTGTCACTTACTGTACTTCCCTATACTCCTGTCCTGTCCTTCCACCTATTAACATAGGTAGAGCCTTGACTTTATCATTTAATCTCTTGTGTCACCTTTTTCCTGCTTGTAAAATAGAGACAATAATTATACCCATTGCTCAAGGCTGCTGCGTGGGCTACATTTGATACCTGCAAAGTCCTTTCCAAGATGTCGGCACATTGGTAAGCACACATATAATGGTAGGGCATAGCAGTACATGTCTATAATTCCAGCTGCAGCCACTTAGAGAAAGAGAGAGAGAGAAAAGAGAAGAAAGAGAAGAGAAAGAAAGAAAAAAGCACATGTTAACATCTGTGGCCACTGGTGGTCATTGCACACATGGCCGCGCCCACTGTAGTCACCCTGCCTTACAGTGTTGTAGGTGTCTCATTGTCCATTCTATTTGTTGAACAATTACTATATTATACATCTCTAAGGCTTCCCACACACACGGGAAAAGGTTATTACTACATTGGAAGAATTAAGGTATGAATATGCTAAGTAACTCATTCCAAAGTGACAGGCTACGTAGTTATGTTTGTGGAATTAGGTTTAAGAAAGTTTATCAGTGTGAAGCCCAGAAAGGAGTCTCACTCAGGGCTCCAGTCAGTGGATTATTCCTAGTTGAATCCCTTTTACTGGAACAGTCTTAGGCTATCTTTGACTGAAAGATTGTAGCATCACTTCTACTTGTGTGAAAAGGAAGATGACTAAGGGGAAATAGAACTTGCTGAACTGTTAAAGGGAAAGGGCTGTAGACATGACATGGATATCCACACCTCATGAGGACAGTCCCATGTTCAGCCACAGAAGGAAGTGGAAATAAAACAAGCATGTTCTAAAGTCACTTGTAGGTTATCTGTAAAGGTGGTCGTCCCCTTGTCCTGTTTTTTTTTTTTTTTTTTTTTTGCTTGCTCTTGAGCTGGTTTCCTCCTGGTGCCTATTAGACAACAGCGGCCATACCACACCGAGCCTCAGATCATCTTCCTGGTGAGAGTGACGCTTGTAAGAAACAGAGTCCTGTTCATTGCAGTAGGAAACACGGTCTGTAGAATGTGGAGTTTCTAGAACACTGTTCTTCCCACTGTTCTTATTTCTTTTCTACCTGTACTTTATCTCCCTCTGAAACAGAGAACGTATTTCTCCCAGCATGTGTACTTTGATTTGAGGTGGAGATTTTAGAACCAGACAAAGGGTTTTATGTTTGTGGGGTGTTTCTGTTTGTTTAATATGAATTAAGAGCTATAACTTTGCATATGAAGGGTTTACTTATTTATTTGTGGAACCAGGTCTCTGTCACTGTAGGCAGGGATGGCCACCACACCTGGCAAAGGCTATTGGTAATCACCTTATCAAGTGATTTAGGATACACTGCTGAGAACAATAGGGGATCACTAGATTACAAATCTGAGGACTGTGAGTAACCAACAAGTTTTATTAATTAGGCAGCAAACTCATTTTCAGATACATGATCACACAAAAAGGTTTGTGCATTTCATGGTGACCCTGCAAGCACACTTTGGATTTACTCATAGGTCATACAACCATGGGCTAGAGCTTGTCTAAGGGCATCTGAAAATTAGCAGCTATCAAGGACTTTGCCAAAGAGTAATTACTGCAACTCTGCAGGTTGCTGGTATGGATGAGGTATTTCGTGTACTCACCTTGGCAAGGCATCAGCCGGCACACATGGTGGCCACCATGGCCAGAACTGCTTACTTGCTAGTTTATGTGGGGATTCGATAGGTATCTCTGAAGTCCTGGTCTTAAAGATAGAACAACAGTTCCTCCTGTCATCTTCTGCTGAAAGTAGGGGACAGTTTAAGTGTTGTTTGGTGATGATCCTGCAGCACATTTGCTGACAGTTGTGTAGAGCCAGAAACTGCTGCAAGAAGGATTCTTTTGTGAGGAACACTTATTAGAATCTGAAGTAACTGGTTTTCCAGGCTTTTCCTGAAACATTTTTAGTGCAGCCTATGTTCAGGTCATAAAAATGAAGCAAGGCCTGGAGGGATCTGTCATCCAGACAGGAATTATTATTGGTACACCAAATTTAGGAGACTTTGAACAGGAAAACTCCCTTTCAGCTGGGCACGTAACTAAGGAAGTCATGGTTGAAGCCTTAGACCTCGTTCTTCCCTGACTACAGGGAAAAGCTGCTGCTGGCTTTGGAGAGATGCTCTGTTTTGTGTGCTGTGTGCTTGTGAGTCAGGATGCCTCCGTGCTCTCGCAGTATGACTCTGAGGTCACCTTATTTATATGATAGTAGAAGTAAAAGCAGCTGTGAGTATTTTGCAGTTAAAAAAAAAAAAATGAACTGAACAATAGTATTCACTTGTTGACTGCCCCCAGTGGGTTCAGTGATATAAGGGCAGATTATCTGGGGGACAGGAAAATGAAGAGTCAGGAAGGAAGTGCAGTTTTTATAGAGTGGTGATGGAGTAGGTGAACGATCTGGCTTCCCTGTAAGTAGTAAGTTTCCTGTGTGCTCTTGGGAGTCTGTGGTGTTTTCACTTACTCTCATTAGCAGGTGGCCTGTTAGAACGTAGCTCGGAATCTTTAGCTAGTTTCCCTGCTCTGCAGTCTTCCTTTATTCTCAGTGAATTAGACTCCAACCTGAGTACTGCTGGTCCCAGCCATAGCAAAAGCCTTGACAGAAATGACCTCTTGTTCCCTGAGTCTGTAATGTTTTAAATGTCTTCCCCACACAGCACCATCACTTACCTCTAAGCAGAACGGAAGTCAGCACTGCTGATGCTTGAACCAGCATGTCAGATAACATCCTTGGAGGGCCCCAGCACTGTGTGCAGGGCAGGCAGTGTGCTTGTGCTCTTTGCAGTGCCATAACATTGCTCATGTTCTCTCGGGACTTTGGATTTGCAGATACTAATGCTGGAGACCGTGGACAGACCAATAATGCCGCTTCCGCATCAGCTTCCAACTCCACCTGAACAGCCCCAAGTAGCCAGCTGCACAGGAAAAACCAGCAGTTACTTGAGTGCCACTCAGCAACACTGGTCACGTTTGGAAAGAAAATTAAAAAGAGGAAAAACAAAAACCCTGTTCATTTTAGTGTTCAATTTTTTTTTATTATTGCTGTTCTTATTTAACCTTGTAAAATATCTATAAATATAAACCAGTTTCATTGTATTCTCACTTTTCAGGAGATCCAAGTAGTGGGAGGGGCGGGAGGGGGAGGAGCAGAGGACTAGAACACACAATCTCTCCCATGACAATCTTTCTTTCTTTCTTTCTTTCTTTCTTTCTTTCTTTCTTTCTTTCTTTTCTTGTCTTTTCTTTCTTTCTTTTTCTTTCTTTCTCTCTCTCTTTCTCTTTTTCTTTCTTTTTTAAATCAGACGTCTGCTATTGTGTACCTTAAAAAAAACAGACTCCTGCCTCATGCCCCCACCACAACAGAAGAAAACCTGTTCTGTGCTGGTTATTTTCTGATTTTGTTTTCTTTTAGAGTCTGGTGTAAGACTTTGATACAGTGCACAGCTTGAAATTGGTTGGGAGCTTAGCAGGTGTCACTCAACAGGGACTTAATGTCACTTGTAAAATGTATACATGTCCTCGGGTATTTGAAGACTTGCCTTTGGCATGTTGATGGCAGGTGTGACAGACCAAAAAAAAAAAAAAAGTGTGTATTGTTCGTAGCCCAGGGAGGTCACTGAACTCTGAAGCTGTAAGGGAAGATTGTGATTGATTATTTAAGGTTTGTTTTGCTCTTGACCAGTGCGAGTGTCGCAAATGCTGACTTAGGAAGGCTGCCTCAGGGGAGCAGCGGAATCTGCATGCCCTGGGTGAATCATGACTCACCTGACCAAAGGCTGTCTGCGGATCTGTTGTTTTGGCACCCCAGGGTGAGACTGGAGATGGTGTTGATGGAGCAGCTCTGGGTGCATCCCAAGGCAGATGACAGGAAGGCAGGCAGCGGGCCAGGGGTAGATCTCACCACTGTGAATGAATTTGTCCAGATTTTTCTAAAGTTATTTCCCTTAGAAAAATACCCTTGAGAGAAGACATTGTAGCTAAATAATGTGAAGTGTACCAGTCTACTGCTTTATTTTTCATATTTTAATTGAAAACCAAGCTTGCAAGAATTGCCACATTCTTACACATAGTTTTATTTTAAACCCAAATCTAGACTCTGTATTTAATTTCTGCTTTTTTAACGTCATGCTTTTAAATTTATTTATTGATTCATGTCATATAGGCCATATGATTTTAAATAGTAGGAATATTAAAAAACCAGACATCAAAATAATAAAGTCACCTGTATCTGCTGACTTTATAGGAAAACTGATTCTATCAATGTGTGTTGTATATATATGTTATAATACGTATGTTCAATACTGCCTTTTCTTTGTCTACACTATCAAAATTGACTGAATCATGAAAAGAATGTTTCTCCACCACCACCATTAAGAGTTTTGTTTTTGTTTTCTTTGTTTATCAATGAATGGTGTAGGAATCAGTCTCTTGTTTTTTGAAGAAAAAGCAATATTCCTTGGAAAGCAAGGAGGATTGAAGGATTATGTTTGAGTGAGGAACAGAATTCATAACTAGTTGATACTTTTAAGGTTGGTATCTTTGTGGGCCTTATATACTCTAAAATGAACCTTGGTGCTTATGGGCCATTACTTGACCTATGAATCTTTATGGCACAATCAGTTATCTTTTACATTTAAAGATCACTTGAGTGATGGCCACCTTTCTTTCTTTCTTTCTTCCCTTCCTTCCTTCCTCCCTCCCTCTCGTCTCACTCCTTCCCCACACATCTGAGGTCAGCTGATGAGCTAGGGCTGCAGAGCCCTTGATTATGTTGTAGTCTCCTCTACCCTCATTACCTAACCATAAGTCATGTTGGGGTCTTGCCCTCTGGGTGGTTAGGAAAAGGAGTCTCTTGGCAGCCCTTATACAGGCCCTAGCACCCTGTCATGCCTCTCAGCCGTGTGTGTAACTCCAAGAGAGTTGTACTGCCTGCCAAAATGAACTGACACCTAGAAAGACATCGGTGAGCCATCCGACTGACTCGCCGTGCCGCGAAGCTCTTCAGGCCACAAACGGGGTTTCTCATACCTCTGGTTATATCAGAGTTCACAAGAGAGGAAACATGCTCAGTCAAACCAAATTAAACAAACAGGCTTTTACTTTCTGTGAAGTGCTTCTGAGAGAAAATTACAGGTTGAAAGATTCTGAAAGCGAAATATTTGACAGCAGAGTTCCTTGAAGGGGTGACTTAGATAGAAAGAATTTGTAAAGAATCTGAACAAGCAGGTGTGTGGCCTAAGGAGGGAAACCTGCTTTTAGAGTAAACTGCCCAGCCAGACACAGTACTCGACTTGCTGTACTTGCTAGAGTCCATAAAAATCAGTGCTTGTTTTTAGCAAATACCCCCAACCCCAGATGGGGTGAGAGAAGAGTTGAGGAAAGTCAGGTGCTTTTCTCGAATCTTCGTGTGCGTGTGTGCTTGTGTGTGTGTGTGTGTGTGTGTGTGTGTGTGTGTGTGTGTGTTGTGTGTGTGTGTGTACACGTGTGTATGCATATATGAGGGCTAAGGTGCACGATTTTTCGTTCTCAAGGATCATGGCAGGATCACAGAACTCTTATACAAGTGAGATCCAGGTCTCTGAATATCTTTTTGTAAATAATAATAATTAAAAAGCTCCTCACCAAATTCAAGCTTGTATATTATATTTTCTTTCAATGTTTTTGAATTTAAGTTTTATTGTTTGTATGTAAATATGTGGACCCAGGAACTGTTATTAATGAGCAAAAAGTTACTGTTCAGGGCAGTGATTCTGTTTAATAACCAGACAAAAATGTAGACGAGCTTTTTAAAGCCATATAGTTTTAACTCTGTACAGTAGGTACCGGCCTGTATTATTGTAACAATAACTCTAGCAATGTATAGTGTATCTATATAGTTTGGAGTGCCTTCGCTTCCATGTATTTGGTTTTTTTGTTTTGTTTTTTGTTTTTAATTGGTTTCCTTTATCCATGTGTCCTTGTCTGTTCCCTTTCCCTCTGAAGTAATGACGTTAAAAAGCACCTTTGCCCCTCCACAGTTTGAGTGGGGAGAGGAAACCATGTGTGAAATCTCATTTCATTCTGGCCTTGCCTTTGTTTTGGTTCTGGGCGTGTCTGTCTCCTCCTCAGTAACAGTGACTGGTTTCATTTCACACTTGGTCCATTCAGGGACTTGGTGGAATGCTGGGAGTCCTAGAGCTGGAGGATGTTGAATAGATTGGATTTTGCTCATCTTTTCTCCAAACCCTAACATGGGTGTTATGGCAGATTCTGGGAGCCTCCCATGCTCGCTCTCTCCTTACCTACTTCCCTCCCAAACGAGAGAGAGATTGGTTTTTTTGTTTGTTTGTTTGTTTTGTTTTTGTTTTTAAATAAATCACACTGTCTTGGTGGCACTTGGCTTTTGATACATCAGTGGTCTTGGTGCCCTACTGACATTGTTAGCAGTTACTGCAGTGGTGCGGGCAGCTGAGGGCTGTCAGACGGGCTCAGAGCCCATCCCTCCCTCCTGCCATCTTGTTGGATGAAATATAATTTTAATTTCTTTTTTAAAAAATCAGTTTCTTGACTATACCTAATATGGCCTTTTTGGGAGAAAAGTATTCATTTTGCCACCAACTATTTTGAGTGTCTTAAATAAAAGAAGGAAAGCAAAACAAACATTAAAAAAAAAAACCACTACCAAACCAAAGGTTGCTATTTTGAGACATCATATGTTCATTGCACACGCAGAAGAATGCACCTTTTTTCCCATAGCATACTGTGTCATTTTTTTTAAGTCTTTAATTTTTTTGGACCCATTTACTGGGTTTGTGTTTTAGCAGAGTATACCTACCCAGCCATCCTGTCCACGCCAATGCAAAGGTCCTGAGAGGACTGCTATATTCTCTCTCCCTGTGGATGTAAAGACACTGGCCTTTCCGTTTCCTTTCCCTTCCCTTTGCAAGGGTTTTCACTTTGGAATCTTCCAAAGGAAGTTTGGCCAATGCCAGATCTCCCAGAGTTGGGGTTTTTGTTTTTTGTTTATTTCACTGTTTTAAATCAAAATTGTGTCTGGTTATAGTTCACACTACTGATTGTTCTAATCACAGAGATGAACACGTTTCTCCCCTGTATGAAAAATAAGCATCCTTTGTGGTGAAACCTGGCTTTGCTGGTAGAAACCGAAGCCACTGAAATTAAGAAACAGCTAGAAGCACAGGAAAGTCCTAGACTAAGGTCTTGGTTGAGAGGCTTTGGAGGTAGTCCCTGGGGGTCTGGATCATTTTCACAGGGTCATGCCATTTTATTCAAGTTTGTTGCTCCGTTGTGTATCTCCACAATACAAGCAAAATGACAGCCAGTGCATAAGGGGTTAGCTTGACAAAGTAGACTACCTTGTGTTGATGTTTAAGTTCTTTTTTTCTTACTATATCTGTCCACAGGCAGATACAGATAGGTATATGGAAATGTGCTTGCCTGTAAAAATTTGCATTTATAAATGTGTTGCCGATGGATCACTTGGGCCTGTATACATACCAATTAGCGTGACCACTTCCATCTTAAAAACAAATCTAAACAAAATTTATTATTATTATTATTATTATTATTATAAATATATATATATATATAAAGGACTGTGGGTTGTATACAAACTATTGCAAACACTTGTGCAAATCTGTCTTGATATAAAGGAAAAGCAAACGCTGTATAACATTACTACTTGAATGCCTCTGTGACTGAACTTTTTTTTTTTTTTTTTCATTTTAAATATAAACTTTTTTGTGGAAAGTATGCTTAATGTTTTTTTCCCCTTTCCCCCATACCCTTGTAAATACATTTTGTTCTATGTGACTTGGTTTGGAAATAGTTAACTGGTACTGTAATTTGCATTAAATAAAAAGTAGGTTAGCCTGGAAATGAAATTAAAATTCACAAGTGTGTGGTCTTTATTTCAGTGCCCAACGCTCTTTCTTTACCCTGCCTACTTTGCCACTGCAACATGTAGTCACATTGCCATCTCCATTCCCCTGACTGGGGAAAACAGGGATCCTTGTTACAAAAGTCAAGACTCTCATTCTTTGAAATGACCTTGCTCTGATGTGTAGACAGGAGGTGCAGCTTCCGGTTTGGAAAGCCCTGGACTTCGTGTACAGAAAGCTTTGCAGACACTGCATTTGGAAAGAAAGAAAATATCCCTGAAAGGGACGGTTGTAAAAACGTGTAAGCTGCTGTCTTTGGTTACTGTGTCCATGGTTTGGTGTGACTGTATTTTCTTTTAACTTCCATCTTACTAGTAATGGTCTTTGGGAGTCTCTGTAAGACATGAACACCATGGACGGTGGGTCTGTGCCACCCGTATAACCAACACGTGTTTGAGTCTGCTCATTTCAAATCCTGGATAATGTATGTTAACATGTTATGTCTCTTAGTGCAAACAGAAACACCATTTTTTAGGGCTGGCTTGTTGTCAGGCCTAAAGGTTAGGCATAAGGTCATGTGACTGCTGCTTCAATAAAGACAAATTTATATTCGATTAAGTGTGGTCTTTTATTTAGTGGGCTAGTTACATTAACATTTCTAGAAGATGCTTGAGAGATGGCACCACAGCCTGTAATCCCAGCACCAGCAGCAGGGCGCTGGTCGGGCAGTGGGGTGTTTTGCGATTCCTTGCCATCTTGTTTAGGTCCTGCTTTGGCCATTTGAACTGGCACTAAAGGACTTGCCAGCCACCCCTCACAACCCTGAAGGGTCCCTTATTTCTGAATCCTTCCAAAGGGTAGTGCTGGGTTGCAGCACAGCTGGGATGGTGTAGTTTGTGAAAGCAGCTGGGCAGAGTGATAGATGGAGTGGTCCTTCTGAACACCCTCAGGAGTTAGAGAGCCCTGGCTAGGGAAAGAAAAGCAGCTTGGGAAAACAAACCTGCTTTGGAGGCTGGCAAGTTGTCTGGAGCTGGGAAGAGCTGGTTAATGTTGGGGGGGGGTAGTTTTGAAGTCTCTCTCTCTCTCTTTTTTTTTTTTTTTTTTCCAGAAAGGAAGGGCCACTCCAGGGCCTCCCATATGAAGTTCATTCGTGGACAGTGGCTGCTGAGTGGCTCTTGACTGATGAGAGAGCCAGATGTTTACCAAGGCTCAAACAAATCTTTCCCCCTGCACTTTGGAAATTGATTGTCTCTTTTTGACCAGGAAACCAGAAAAAGAATGGTTGCCACCAACGTGAAACCAGTGCCTGCTTCTGTTTGTTCCGAAGCTCAGGGGCAGGGGAGTGAAGAGGAAAAAGGATGGTGGAGAGCAGGAGAGGTGGATCTCTGAATTTCAAAACAGCCATGGTGGCTGAGAGAATGTATATCCTAGACACAGTTTTGTTCAGCCAACCCTGAATCTCAACTGCTCTTGGGATAAGTGCTGACTGTCCAGTTCCTATGCCCTTGCCAGTTTAATGATGGGAGCACTGCCTGGGTGTTTTCAGAGTTAGCTGGCGGTGTAACCAGTGTTATACCTTCGTTTTTAGCCTCATTTGCCTGAACCTACATCTAGCCACTGACAGACTTCTGCATGAGTAGTAGCTCAAAGGTAACTCCCCAGAGGAAGGAAAGATGCGTGTACTATTATGAATGTAGTCAAGTGGAGGTTAGACTTCCACGGGCACGGGAGAAATAGATTTCTGTTATAACCAAGTTTTATTATTGTTACAAGATTTTACGGAGCGAAAGCTATATTCATGAGTTTGCAGAGGTCGTCTTTTTTTTTTTTTTTTTTTTTTTTTTTTTTTTTTTTTTTTT